GTAGCTCGGACACCTGGAGCTCCGAAAGGCTTCTCTCATAACGGGAAATCCATGGACGAACATGCCTCGCGCACACACCAAGTCGTCCCATTCCTGCCGGACCGTTCGCGATCTGCCCACGTTGCACGTTGGACATCCCTCACGAATGTGGACGTAACAAAGGTGATACTCGTCACAAGTCATACGACAGATGCGCCGGCGCAGGTCGCCAATAGCGTGTCTATCACGCGTTCCCTCGCGACCGTCTAACTAGGACGTAAAGGACGTTCCTTCACGTCGGCTCGCGTTCCAGCGCCTGATGAAGGCACATCAAGACCTCTGCAACGCATCGTCGGTATATGCGTTGTTCGTCTCCTTGCCTCTCACTGTACGATATCGCGTGAAAAGGTCCTTCATGACCTCCAGTGGCTCGGGTTCGACAGCACCTTCAAGACCATACAAGCGCCACGGTATAAAGTCCCCATCCATGACCTGCGGCGCCTGCTCTCTACGGATTGTCGCTTGGTGTTCCCAGTTCTGGCTGTCAGAGACATTGTTTCGTGGACGCCTAGTGTCCATGCTGCTCAGTTAAGTCTAACTGAGCAGGTTCGGAGTTACGCCGTTGGTCGAGAAGAAACTTTCTGCGATTCGCGCTTACGTTGAGGTAAGCGCAACTTAAAGAAGGGGGTGATGTAATGGGTCTGCCTATTACATAAGTAGTTATAGGAATAATACATAATTACATAAGTAGGCATAGGGCAGTATCCGATTAGCGGATACTGCGCGTCATTTTATTATTGGTTTATTATTGGGGTGCCTACCCAATAATTAGCCAATAATAATTTGACTTCCATATTGAGTGGTTCCCATGAGCTAGGGAACATATTCGCACTTTCTTCGAATTAAACTAAAACAAAAATATAACAGAGTTATATTTACGAGTTAATTAAGAGCGCTTCCTCAACGCTATTCTAGTGTAAGACGGTAACGGGTCCTTAGCCCGTTACACATACCATCGACGGCAGGCTGGTGGTCATTAGAGCCGATATGCTCCAAACGTTTGCATAAGGCCTGAAAACGACTGGAAGGCGTCCTGTGTACTCTTAAGAGACATAAGTCTTCTCAATGAAAGCATTTTGTTTGCCAACGCAAAAAACATCGTCAAAAATAAGCTGTAACTTGGAATCAGCCTACGCTCACTCTTGCACTGCGATGACAGCGAGTGCGAGCAGTTTGCTCCGAAGGCTGCATCACTGGCGTTAAAGCACTACCCTATGCTGTATGCTACCGTAAACATAAGCGATACAAAGCTCCCGGTGGCCGCTTTACACAACAATACGGTAGCTAGGGATGGACACACCGACGGGTCTGGTTGTACCAAACGTTAAAAATGTTCAAGTACGTATCTCTCAACTGTCTTACCGTACGGTTTTTGAGTGGAGATCTAGTACACCAAGTCCCCCACGTTTCAGAAACATCATTGCGGTTTCTTTCATCAACCATGACTGATGTTTCGGGGCCGACTCCGCAAAAAACTCGGTCCAGACAAACTTCTAATGAGACGGTCGCTTCACTATTACTGTAGTCGGACAGCGATGAAGATTACTATAAAGAAGCTTTATTATTTGACCGCAGCTGCTACGTTTTATCGCTATCCAGCTTAAAGCGTTTTGTGACTCGCCATGCCCATACGAATGATAATTTAATGCTCTGTAGAAGCCTATGCTGCCGCCTCGTCATGTTTGCAGCTCGATGGGATGCCAAGGTAGCGAGTGATAGCTGTAGTGTTGTAGTTGAGTATGACTTGTCCATGCGATCGCTTCTCTGAGTCCGTCCGGATGTAATGGTATGTCCACTAGTTTGATTTCATACAGGAGAAGTTTAGAACCTGCTCCGTAGTCACAAATAGCGCTCAAAACTATGTTTAGATCCTCCGAGTGGCGCAACTAGACCGTATTATCATCAGCATCCCCAGTCAGTCTAAGTGCTGATGCTGCTGCTTCAGTAAATACTAAATTTCAAAATGAGCCTCACACCGATCCAGCTTTAATTAAAACGGTTCTAATGCGAGGATGAATAGGTAAGAGGCACATGGATATCCTTGATGGATTCTCCTCGCATGGTATCCGGAAAACCGTGACGCCCAAGTGCCTTCACCAGAAAGTCTCGATCAAGGTTGTCATAAGCATTGGCAAAATCCAGCAGTATGGCCAACGTGTTGCGTGCTTCCGGTCTATTTTCGCCATGTGTCGTGCCACAGCGTAGCAGTGTAAAGTAGTGAGGCTATTCCGTCCGCGACAAAGCCACATTTATTTGATTGATTAGTTTGTCTAACACCTATTATACAACCTTTGTGACGATTCGCATGATAATTAAATAATTCGAATTGAGGAGAGCCAATGTTTTGTGGTTGAGCGAGTTGCCTTTCCTCAATTTTCTTTAGACAAAAGATATTGGTCTCAATGAACGAATCCATAAATATGTGTTGCGCGCACCATTGGCAATAAAGTGCTGTAAGGAGTCACTTCATCAATATAATTTCGCTTGCTGTTGTTACCCAGTCGATCTGGGCCACAAGCCATTCCAATTTTTCACGCCAGAATCGCCTGGGATACTATTTCCTTCGTAATCATCATAGTGGCATTAAACATCTCTGTAGGCATCCCACTCGCCTGAGGCATCCATTCGATGATTTCGACCATGTGAGTCAGCCCCAGCGATGTCTTATTCATGATGTGTTTCCAGGTTGCAGGCATTGTATTCGCGTTTTCCTGTGCTGTAGCCATCTTCACCGAAGTGTTGATATTGTATGGTCGGCGAATTCTGACGAGATTCTCTTGAAGAAGGTCTGTGTAGTTTCCTGGGACGCCACGCATCCGACTGAAAGAAAGGTACCGAATACGTTTTCGTTTTAAAGTCGCAATTTTGCGCGTAAAGGGTAACGGGGTGAGCCCGTTACATAATATTGACACTGATATGAAGTGTCAATAAAATATTATTATAACTAATAATATTTTGACAATATTATCTTTTCTTATAATATTGTTCCTAGATCTCTTTGAAGTTGGAGATGCTCTCTTATTGGTTGATATGGGCCATCATATCAACCAACGCGCTGACCAATGACCGATGGACGCGCGCAATGAGTGGAGGGCAAGTTGGCAGCTTACATAGTTGTAGTTTAATACACTATAGTTAACATAGGTTATAACAGATTAGTTTTATTCAGATAGTTAACTATATTAAATATAGTTGTTCTTTTCCTCTACTTCTAAGCGTATCGTTTAGAAGTAAAGTTTCCTCTGCCTCTTGTGTAAGAGAGGTAATTGAGGCACCTGCTCTCACTGTAATCAGTAAAGGTAGAATATAATGTAATCAGTATAGTCGGAGGGTGCCCCATTACATAACGTCGTTAGATTTGATCGTTATGAGATCGCAGGCGACGAAGTTCCGACTGTCCTCGCCGGGTGTATCCTGTAACTTTTGAAGTTGGTTAACTAGTAGTACCATCTTTGGAGCTTTTTCTCGACGAAATGCGCTCGCTCTGGCGTGGCGAATGGTCCGTTTTACCCGGAAAATGCCACTCACGATTTTGACTACGGATGGTCCCATCGTTTTGACTTATCCACACTATCCAGCGAGTGTACCTCCATATCAGCAGCAAACGCCGCCAATGTACCAACGACAAAGTCGCGAGTTTGCTCACACGCATACGGCGGTGGGTATACTTAAGGCGGCTTTTAACTATAAATTGGGTGCTTCTGGTCTCGTTGTTCAAGCATAATATCTTTGTGCCATGACTGTAGGCCGTCCAGTGGCGCCGGAGTAGCAACTACCACAGCCGTAGAGCATTCGTTTGATAATATCTGTCAATTCTGCTAGACGCAGTACCCTGAGTAGGTGTAGCTACATTTTGTGTACTATACAATGCCCTAAGTCCGTCAGGTTCTAAATGTGTGAGTTGCAGTGAAACATTAAGATTGAGCGTTTGCAACCACTTGGCAAGCTCTGGTGAACAATGATTGGTGGCTGCGGTGGTAAAGGAGAGGTCAGCTGAGTTAGCTGGGTGCAGTTATAAACACCACCGACTAATTGGCCGTCTGAAGCCACATATAGCACTTTGTTAAGCAGCGCATAAAAGGCCTCTCTGTCCCGTCGCATTCTCGGTGCGTATATGCTAACAAGAACCACCTGTAAATCTGCCGTTTTCACCTTGATCGTCATCAAATTAGGCGTCCATCATCTTATAAATAAGGTTCTGGGTCTGAGATTTTGCATTGGGGATGCAGCAAAATTGCCACCCCCGCAGAGATAGACTCACCCCCTGACTAGTACGATAAGTAGGCGCTCCATTATCGGTCCTTTAACCCCATCCTTGTCTTAGCTATATCAAACTACAAGCATATAGGTTTCTTGGCGCCCCCTATTCATTGTGCGCGTCAATCTTTCATTGGCCAGAGCGTTGGCTGGTATATTAGCCAGTAAGAAGGGCATTTCTAACTCTAAGGACATGCCATTACAACATTATCGTAAAAGATAATATTGTTGAATATTATTGGCTAAGATAATATTTGTGGATATAACTGGCAAAGATGATATTCGCATTGGCACTTAACCAATGTTATGTAGCGGGGGGAGGGGATTATATCGAAAAGTGTCTGACATGTGAAATTTCGATTAAAACGAGCTAAATTTATGGGAGCTACTGAAATGTACAAGCGCCAATAGAATCTCAAAAATAATTAGGAACCGTTCTTAATCATACCTAATTTTGCCTCTGACAAACTAGTGCTCACCGGCATTATTCACTTATTCGAGTCTAATGATTTGTTAACCTTAAAACAAGGCTTTTTGGTACTGACCCACATGGAGCCGTCGCTGGAATGAGTTGTGGAGTACCACAAGGACGTGTATGCCTTATCCCTTTATCCCTCTTTACCTTACAATCAGCAAACTATTCCGTAACAGCTACACAATCTAGAAAACGATTGCATGATATTTGCCATTCGAGCTTTGTCAAACTACCGCGCCGTTTTGCTCTTGCAGTCTACCGTAATGTCTCCACTGACGATCAGCTGAGTAAATGCCAGGGGGTCGTGGTCCATGGCATCGATGAGCCCCGGAAATTTGGTATGTACAAGCTCGGTAAGCAACTGCTCAGCGTCTCCCATGTGTTTCTGCACCACATAGCGATGCAGCTGGCGACATAGTGTGCCTGGAGGCGAAGCCGTGAGCCCACAAGCGGCTGAGAGTGCTGGATCCGGGTCGGGATCTGCACCAGTGTGAGAACTTGCACCTCGTGTCTCGCGCATGTATGTCTGCAGCCGTGCAGCCTCCTGTAACTCGTCCGCCGAATAAATGTAAATACCTGTCTCAACCCCATTAACTTCTTCAAGAAGCAAAGCCCGCTCTCGCGCCGAAAGTGTATTCATCAGATCAGCAACGGGTTCAGCTAGCACACATCGAGGCATAGCAGAAACTGAGGTCGATGATAATCGGTCTTCCTCGTTGTCGTTGTAGTCCGTGAACGACAGTGAACGCGAATCCGTCGCACGCTCGGCGGTTCCAGAATTTGTACTCGGTATGCTGTCACGATCTTCACAATTGCTCGAGCTTGAAGTAGCAGCTTCTGATAGTTCAGGCTGAAAGGTGTCCTCGCTATGTGGGAGGTGGAACGACAGTTCTGTGGCGTTAAGTTTCGCAGACGACACATTGCGTACAGTGCCATGCGCGGGCCTTGTGTCGCTCCAACGGCTTTCGTCATTGCTGAGGCAACAATTTCGCTCCGCTCCACGACTTTGCGTCTGGTGCACCTGCTGATATGACGCGCGAGTAACAAAGGTATTGTTGTGTGGCACGGAAGGTCGTCGTGGAAACAAGCCATTTACGATGCCGTAAGCAGACTGAGAACCGATCACATTTATCCAAGCCACGAGATCCTGCTCAGATTCGGCGCCGAACAAGTATATGCGCTGGCCAGCACTTGGAGGGACCACTTTGAAAAAGTGGAGACACTTGTTTCGTGCGTTCACTTCATGGGGTTCACAATTCTGTACAGTCACGCGCCGCAAATTCACGACGCCAAGAGGCGTAGCGTCCGAGATGCCGTGATAATACATCATTTTCCCCTCCCGCGCAACAAACCATCGTTTCTTCCAGTTCTTAACGAAGCCACCTTGCTTATACAACCAACCTTGCATGGTAGGTGTTAGTTCCTCGAGCCGCCAAGACGTCTGCGGTTGTCGCTCGTTACAAGCCTGGTAAGACGGCACTATCTTTTCGCATGGTTGTGGCGCTGGCGGTGGACGCACAGTCCTCGCTTGCTCCACTTTATCGGCACAGGTGTTGCTGATACTTTCTGGCTCCACCATGGACGATGATGACGACGATTTTGGGAATGGATTTCCATCCGGGTCCAACATTTCCACGTGACAAACTACCTGAAAATTATTCGGGAATCGTCGATTGCCAGCAGCTTCATCCACTTCGACCTTCGGCAGTCGATACATGGTGCTCTGTTTGTCCCACAAACACACATACGAGTTGATCGTCAGTTCAAGACACTACCTTGCTCCAGTAATACTACCAGCATACTAAATACTTACGTAGTTGTGGAAGAAATCAGTGTTGAATGTGAAATGAAACATCTTGACCATGTGTGTGCCCAAAATGTTTGTTGTGTTAGCGTGGAAGCATCTCACCACCACATCACCCTGCACCTCGACATTTACCTGACAGTAATTCACCCATAAGTCAGTCAACTATACTACACAATCTATCTCTTTTTACCATCACATACCTCAAAGAGAATCGACCCTTGCGGGTCCGCCAAGTACGTTTCAAATGTAGGTTTTTGCCACGAGCTGTTATACAACAAATGTGGTTGATAGTGTTGTGACGGAGCCGGTAAGACCTGTAAAAAGGGGGTGCATCCTCCGCTCGGTGAAGCTTCAAAATCCGGCACCCCATTGAGCATGATACTTCTAAGCAGCATCTTCTTGGCTGGTGACAAAGGTGGAATCTGTGCCGGCATGTAACCCAATCTTCTAAGAACTTTAATGAAGTAATAAATATACAAAGCTTGACTTGGAAATCGGACCCCCTGTCCTCTGGCGTTCCAGAAATCTCGAATACTCGAGTTTGCAAGCTCTCGAAGTTCTCGTTCTTTACGTAACTTAAAGACACTACCATAGTATCCTGTAAGTAACAAGTAACAAGAGCAAACAACACCTGTTCGACCTTTACCTGCCAAACAATGGACAACCACGACATGTTTGGGACTTTTAGCGACCCATTGGATCATATCGTTCATAATATCAAGTAATAGTTGCAAAGGGGGTGGATGATGATCTGGAAAACCACATTCACTCACACGTCCTTCAAACTTATTGTAGTCGTAATTCCGTTCACTTAAATTGTAAACACGATAAGCATTTGGATGTCGGGAATTAAGAAACGTAGAGACTTCGTTAATATCATTTCGATATGTTTTTTCAACACCTGAAGCTGGGTATCCCATGGCAATAAGTTTAGGTGTTATGTAAGTGAGATCAAGATCGAATCCGTCTTGCATGTAGCGCACGCGCGAGCCAGAAACAGCGGCTCGCAACGCCTTCATGGATATATATTGCTTGTTCACTGGAAGTGTTGCTGAAAATTAATGAACCTACTTTTTGTTATGTGTTGGGGGTTTTCGATTAATAGACTGAGAATTTGTATGTACCGGTATGTGTAGAAACGTGTAAACCACTGAAGAAACTGGATATACTGTATTTATAGCTCATTGCTATAAATACAGTATATCCAGTTTCTTCGTTAGCCCGCGGTCGTTCGTAGTAATGTGCAGTTACCGCATTCAGCTGATTTCATTTAACATAAATCAAACCTTTTGCTTGAAACGACCATCATTCCCAGCTGTCCGCCGTTTCCAGTAACCTCAAACCGTTGTCAATTATATTTGTTGATACAATTGATCTTCCAGCCACTTCCTTCATTTATCGCCCCATTCTGGCGATTTTCACTGCCCAGATACAATTTTACTTTCACTATTTGCTCGAGAGCACTGTGTTGTCAGTATTCAGTAATTGCAAGAGATATAGAGGCTTCAGTGCACGGACGACAAGTTTATTCTCACATTTCTCCACATTTATCGATCATGGAGTGATGGAATCGCTCTGCAATCCTTCCGAGTGATGCCAATTAGTTTTAGTCTAATAGTGTAAAGTATGAATTGATATAAAGGCAATGAAGCATCTTTAACGCACGATGATGGCCCTTGCAAGACGGCCGGAAGTTTATTAGAGATTGTTGCAGATCTCAGATGCATCCAACGCTTGAGTACTGACACAGAATTTACGGGTGCAGGGAGTGTGCACTTTTGGCACAGGGCACGGAATCAGCATGACAGTCGAGTTGGCAACACAAATTTATATGAGAGGGCGCGATGGTAGCGACTTTATCGACGAATATGCGCGTAGATTCGTCGATCACTCGATTTTGGTGTAGAAGCGAGTGACGCTCTTGCTGTACCTGGACTTGGTACTTACGGTTGCGTCTATGTATTTGCAACGAAGACGAATTTGGATGCATATGTGTACGTCTTACCGTGTAAAACTGTATTGGTCGTATAACTTATATCAAGAGTACATGTATTGTACAGGAACCAACGCGTAAATTGTATATATCAAAGGGCAATCTTTAAAGAGAATTGCTTTCCATCCGAGTGCCATCAAGGCATTCACTTCTTCATCATGGTGGTAAGATGACAAAAGAGTACAAACAAATAATTCGAAAAGAACTTTACTTTGAAGCATATCCACGCGCACACTCCATGAATCACATGTACACACATTGGTTCCTAAACTAAGTGATTGAATGCAGCCTTGGCTATGAGGTCACAAATCAATTCAGTCAATGTTATCATTATCCCGTAATGTCGAGCTGGTTTATCACATTGTTAGAAACCACACACGTGTAGTTTATTTGACGTTCAAGATGTTGCAGCTCCAGCAACATGTTTCGGCAAGTACTGTCATCGCCATTTTATTTATAATGCCCACTCACCCGCTCGTCACCTAATTCGTGAGGAAATCAGTAGTGTCGATGTTTACTCGCAGGCAATTGCAGGACGGCAATTATTCTGCCATAAACGGCGACGTGCGTAGCACACAGGCGACGACACGGACGCCCAAGGACCCGTGTAAGTACTGGCATAGACCCATCCATGGTCATCCCCCTTCTTGGTCGAATAGGCCCATCCAGCTGCTTCAAGTCCTTCTGGCACTTTTGGTGCCACATGATCAAAAGTATCCGATGATGTCTGCAAGTCAAAAGAACTCCAATGACGACGTTCTTTGTTGTGTGAAGGTGTCCACTTGCCATCCACATAGTCCTCATTCTCCCAGACACACAATGTCTTCTGTCCATCCGTCTCTTCTGCATAACAAATGTCCAACTGGATCGTTGTCTTCTTGTCTGGCGACTTGGACGCTTCCTTTAATGCTTCCGGAACTACAAGTTCATATGTCCCGACAACTGCTTCATTGGGTCGTCGTTCAAAGGTGGACAATGAAAGACGTAATTCTCCCATCAAATCGTCCATCTTGAAGCTGTCATTGTCCATTACTTGGACCACCAATTGACGCTCCGTTTTCTGCGACATGTGTGGCAATTCGAACTCGACCGTCTCGGCTGGCTGCCACACGGGATTAAGCGATCCGCTCACACATGAAGAGCAAAGATATTCATCACCTAACTGGAAAGTCACGAAAGGGTCACTCGCACTTCCTTGGACAAAAGTGTCGGCCACGGGTAAATTGCTGGCACGTAGCAGCGATACGATTAATTGGGGCATTTTGTGAGCGTCTCGTATCGAGTGGATTACTGTGGCGTCATGGGTGCTGGCTACGTATCAGGTTCAGCCTCGGCACATAATCGAGACACGGCAGATAATTTAGTAACAATCGTCAATGGAATACTGGATTATTGACGGTATCTCAGTTACCGACTTTAGCTTAGTAAATACCGGTCTCTAGGAACTTTCCTCCCATTTTGAAGAACGTTTTCGCTACTCAGATCTGACTCCAACTTCACTGTCGAAGTTATTATCCACTGCCAAATGAACAGCGCCGACCTGAGCATTCTCCGGATATTCAAACGTATGCAGCCTCTCAATCCATTTTGGTCTTTTCGTCGACGGCTTTGTATGACTCTATCCCTTATAAATCAGACACGTCAAACTTTAGCTGCAGCTAGTCATAGAGGTGAAGGACGAAGCAGTAGAAGATAAACAAGTCGTCACTTGTTTTCTTCTTCTATTTGATCGTTATAATCATCTGATTCCATACAATTTGTACTTGTTTCTGTCAACTTTTATTGTTTGCACACGTCACAGCTACTAAAACACGCATGGAGATCCGCGAGCAAGACTTTTCTTTCAATGGTATCGTGTCTTTTCGCTGAGTGGGGGTAGATATCGTCATTCTGACGGCTTTTGTCTGTTGTACATCACTCTGTTGCTTCTTGGGTTGAATATTCGTAGATGACACTCGACAGCGGCCACTTATTGAGGTAGTAACAAAAGACGTGAGGACGGCGGACATTTTCAACATCATGGAAGGTGCTCTATTCGGCTAGGAATAAAGCTGCACGCTGCTTTATTCTGACGGACAATATGGTGTTTTTGCACTATGTTTGTTCTTCAGCAGTAAGAGGTGAAGAAGAGGTTTTTGGGGAGGAAGTTGCGTCGTGGTGGAAGGATGCAGTCACAGAAGAATTCTCAAGGCAGGATATCGTGCTGTTGGCGTTGATCGCAATTTGTGCACTTCGACTGCTATTTTTCGTGTGTCACGTGACTTGGAAAATGATGAGACTGATGATGCAATGGTATGATGAGAAGGAACATGATGAGGAGTCCGAGGTGGAGAATGCTGTTATCAGCAGTGAAAACTTGAGAAAACAATTGGCGATTATCCGCTTCTGCCATCTACAGTTTTTACTGGTGGTTGAGAAGCTGCAGCGTGAGATTCGAGAAAGCAAGAACGATGACACACAGCAAATGTTGGCTTCATTGGTTGTGTCGCAGTATAAAGACAAAAAGAAGGTAACGCTTGCAGAAATTTTGGGCACATTGCAAAAGATTCAAGCGCTGGACAGCTGTTTCAAAGCGTGTAAGATGGAAGAGCATCTTGCAGATATTAAACAAGACGTAGAAGCTGACGAAGAACAACTTTCAGAAGCATGGGAGCGATTGCAGGATATCTATGCTTCATTTCTTCGAATTCAAACGAGAATCATCCGTCGGCAAACGCGTAGGAAGAAGCGACAATGGCGATTGCATCAACACGAACAGTTCCAGCAGGAAGAAACCGGACGTTGTCAACGTCGACTTTCAAGTAGCGAAGACCCTACCAATGAGGTGCTGCATGATCTTCAAGCGTTAACGAGGGAGCTACCTCAAGGTTTTACAGCTGACATGTTCACGTCACTAGGCAACGCCATCCACAATAAAGTGGCTTCTTCTCCCGTAAAAACGAAGGTAAAATCTGCGTTATAGCTAGAGACTGAGATCTTATGATCATCCAGCATATTATCACGGCGTCAAAAAGACAACTTTGATCTCCAAGGTGTTCAAGGACAGACAAGTAGTAGAAATTATTAGCAGTAGAACGTAGTAGGGATTCTGTAATATATCGGTCAAAATTTAAAAATCACAAAATCAGATCCGTTTCAAATCCCTATCTAAAAATACTGCTTCAAGTGAACTGGTCGAATAGCTCCCCCGTTTGAGTGCCTATAGTAAAACCAGGCGTGGCATATCATGGAAATTTTAGCGCGTTCCGAGAAACCGCCATTCGAATCATGGAATCGACTCGGCACTTCGTCTTGGAGCACGAGAGACACAAAATGAAGACACTACGACGTCCATTAACAAGAAACGCTGCAATGCTGTACTGCATACGACGTCTTCTGGTTGTTACTTTTCTACTGTTGAGCGCTAGTGACGCACGTCGTGTCGTAGCCGAGCCATCGCATCGTAAGTTTCGAGTCATTATGTAACGTATTATAATTTACTTACGGTCCTTTTTTTGGTGCATCATTTTGGTATTGTAGCATATCGTCGGGTGGAGATTCGCGTGGAAGATTTTTCGTTTTCGGAGGGATCGGAGCAGCAGCAGCAAGAGCAACAGGTTGTCATTGAAGCTCGGGATATTAAAGGGTCAGAGCTCAAGCCGTGGCCGTCAGATGACGATCTTCATGTCATTACGTGGGAAATGACAGACGAGACAGACAAGAAGGTTTGGTCTACTAGAGAAATGGAACCAATCAAAAAAAGTCCAAGCGCAACAGCTGCAGTCGTAGAAAAAGAAGATGACGAGGTTATTGAAGTAGCTGACATTGCTGCGAAAGCAGCTGTTGCTGAAGAAAATGATGATGCAGCAATAAAGAGATACACGGCATATCGCACGGCTATGTGGTGGTGGAGTGACGAGAAGACTGAGTTGTCGGCCCAGGAACAGGCTGCAGTGCTAGTTGTAGTGGTGGTGATACTGCTGGTCATTGGACTGGCACTTGCAGTGCTCTGGAACCTGGCGTGGTTTGTGTGGCGCTTTTACCGGGAACGACAGACACTGTATAAGCTTTTCAGTGAGCAGAATCCTGTGGTATTGGAACAAGAGCTGCGTAAATTCCCGGTGGATTTGCTGTCCTTGTGTATTAAACATATTGCTTGTGTGAGGTTGCGGCATTTACAAGTAGTGTCTGATGCACGAGACTTAAAAAAACAGCTTGAGACGGTCGAGTTTCGTGAAATTGAGATGGAATTAGTGAATATGCCACTGCATGCGACAAGTCGGAAGGAAATGACGTTTGCAGAGATCTTGACAACTGTTGAAGAAATAACGTGCAGGGCGGAACAGGTAGCTGTGGAAATGATGCAGTTAGTAGTCCCCCCACGCTGGAAGAATTACGTGGACGAGAGCTCATGGCTAAAGGTTCACGATGAGAGTTTACAAAATTTGCATCTGGAAAATGCGCGCGTCCAGCAGCTCGCTGAGAAAATCTCAGAACTTCTCGTGGCGAAAATAAATTCAAATGAAGCCATTCCAAAGCCAGTCTTCCTGCTTTTGCTTGCGTCGCTCCGACAGAACTCAGGAACCCTGCCACAAAACTGTGCTAACGCGAAAGTGACGACTAGTGAGCTAGACGCATTCGCACGATGCTGGAGCGGAAGCATGACAATGAGTGGTAGTGTCGGAAATCTTGGCGGCAGTAAGAACAAGGATGAGTTTAGCTTCTTGCTCAAAGCATATGACGAGGTGGCTGAGCAACAGAAAGTTCGGCAGGAATTACTAGGCGCTATCGAGAGCTTCCAGCCCACAAATGAACCGGAATATGAACAGCTATTACTGCTGGAAAATGCAGACAGTGCGAGCAGCAATCAGATTACTCGACAGACGAAGCAGGTTGGCACCGCCAAAGCAGCTAACAGCGGAGCCACCGCAGCGTCCATGCGTCGCCTTGAGCGATGGGTGGATGAAGCAGAGATGATGGAGATGACGTACGTCGAGGAGGTTGAAAATGCGCAGTTCATGCTGGAGGATGCCCGACGTGACAGCTTCTGCGCAGCTGTTGTCAGCAACGACGGTAAGGGCCTCGACAGTGTCCAGACGTTAGCAACAAACTTTGTCGCGCTTGGTGCCAAGCGTGAAGATGCTATCCTGAAAGCTGGTGAAATTCTAGCGAACCGCTCGAATATGATGCTTTTGGTAAACAGTCTTCGAGGCATGTTTGACCAGCTGCGTAAGCGCGATATCATGAAGATGAATGAACGACGAAACCGTGATCGCGCCAAAGCTCAAGATAAGCGTAATCGCGTGGCTCAAAAGCTTCAAAACAAGCAGCAGCTGATTGTCGAAAAGATTGAGCGAACACGCGAGGCCCAGCGACAAAAGGAAGAGGAAGCACGACTTCAGCGACGGAAAGAGGAACTGAAGCAGTTCAACGCACAAAATGCTCGGAAACGTGCATCATTCGTTTGGGTAATAACCAAAACTGACGTGTTTGTGGTGCTGGTAATCATGGCTGTCGTATTTTTTGAAAATTTGCGGGAGGTGGCTTTCGTAAAACCTTTGTGCCAACCTGATGAGGATCACTGGTGGACGGTTTCCTGGTGGACACCGGCATCACTTCAAGTGTTCAGTTGTGAAGTAACTTACGGGCTGAAAATCCTGGGTATCCTTTTGGCGTTTGGAGTAATTTTCTTTGCTGCTGCGCAGCTCAACCTCGTGGCTGTAATACTACCAGTACTGGGGGCGATTGGCCTCTACTATTTGCGCGATGAATGGATGAACATGCTCTTTCGCCTACCACTTTTGCTCGTCATCTACGGCTATAACTCAGCTATTCTTTACCTGTTCAATCGCTTCGAAGATCGCAGTAACGACGAGCACGTTGTCAAAGAAGTGGACAAGGATATTGTTGTCAATCCTACGAAGCGACGGAGTATGTTGCTATACGTAGTGTTTCCACTCTCCTCATTTCTTTTGACAGTGGTAACGGGTGTCGGTATCGCTTGTGATGCCCCTGAGGAGTGCACCGCTTCGGCTTATACAGCAAGTACGTCTGTACTTGCAGGACTGTGGGAATATGCGCGTGGGGCATATCGAATTTAGAACGCATGGAAGTTTGGAAGATAGAAAGAGCACGAAGTTACGTGCGATTTTTTTGCTGGGAGAATACCAAGGATTTAAAGTTTGAAATGTACGACATAGAGATCAAGACTAGCGTGCAAGCGTTGCATGTGCACAAAGGGTTGAGTGGCGTTAGCTGAAAAGTTTCACAAGTTTGTTTCTCTTTCGGCACAAGACTCTTGTACGGGCGGGATCCCTTCATATCCTGCAAGTTCCGATTGGCCGAGTTTCCTTTGTCATTCTGAGCTTGTGCTAAAAAGTATCTTCTCCGCTACAATCTCAGGCAATATTGTAGAGGCAGAGCTTCATCGCAGATTAAGGAGATTGACGCAGACCCACTTGCTACCTGAAACCTTGATGCTTAATAAACCTGTAAGAATATGCAACGAGAGGTTGTCGTGTAGATTACTCACCGCATCTACTAAAGGAGACGTCGGTAAAATTGCACCTACATTGAATACGACAAGTCGTTATGTATACAGACGATGGCATACTATAATTACTATTATATGTAGTAATTAATCTAGTGTAGGGTAATTAATGTAAGATTATCCACAAAATCTTTTTGCATAAATAAAATCAGTTCTCATTTTGAGTCATAGAGATAAAGCCGGTATAAACTTGTTTCTCTTGTGCACTTCGTGCATTGGTTCCTCAAACCTCTTGCTTCAAGCTTGTTCTTGCACTCTGTGCGTTGGTTCTCTGAACCTTAGCTTATTGCTTGACTGACTAAAAGTCTCTTTCCTCGTTCCTTAAAACAGGGTGACTTTAAGTCGTTTAATTAGTTCCTTAGAACTAAGTGGCTTATAGCCTTAACTCTATTTAGTTGTCTAGAACTAAGAGGTTTTCAGCCTAAAGTCTTCCTCTGGCTAAAGAGCTGTGCAGCTCGGCTAAATTTGTTATTAAACCCGTGTCCAAAGGTTTGCGACACGCTATTAACTTGTTTTCCCTGTGCTAATAGTGAGAGCTATATGTAAAATTGTCGACTATTTAGGTAGGCAAGACACTAACTATTATACAGTGTATATTGACATAAAGCTACATGTAACATCTACATATAATCTAGGCAGGCAAGACACTGTTAAACACTGTGATTTACAAGAAGCTTTCACTTCCAGAAAAAAAGCTGATGACATGTCTCACACCTTTATGCGCGGGTCGAATAAACAAAGGAGCCTGAAACTTTATGTTCAAGCAGATGCGTAGTCCTCACTAGTTGGTTCATTGAATACTAATATACATTTGGTCCTTAGTTCGCTAATAAGACCTACATCTGAGCCAGTCCTTTCTCATACTAGCTCACTATATCATGCTCACCGATTGCCTTGACCTTCTAGCTACTCTGCCTCCTAGTGCTCTCTGCTATTATCAGCCTAAATGACTGGTAGCAACACAACTTACCTGCTTACTACTTGCATTGACCATGCGTGATGAAAATAACGACTGGTCGCAATTCACATGTGTTTTCCTGTCACTGAAAGATAGTCCATTTTCCCAGCAATCCACTTTCAACGCTCCCCCTTGAGTATACTTTTCGTTTTTCGCCATTTAATCCATCCTTAAACGTGCTTAATCGTCCTTTTTGTCTCTCTAGCCGATTTGCATGAGCTTCCGAATCTATGTAAACTAGATAGCGTCGAGCGCTTTCGTCATTAGGTAGGCGAGTATCAGCTCCGACCTAATGTAACACGCAATGATCACGTCACGACGCGAGAAGCCACACAAGTTATTCAGCCGAACATCTACTTGCTTCGCTTTCATGGAAGATGCCTCACCCGCAATTTGTCTAACCGCTGCCTTATTTTCAACGTGGAGTTGCATTGACACAGCCAGGGCGATGCCGACTCGCTTAGCATCTCGCGGAGGCCGAGCATTTCGCGCACCATCTCTGAGGCAGCAACCAGCTCAGCCACCATCGTCGACAACGACACACCACCCTCCTTACGCGCGCCCCAATTCACTGCCATACATTTCAAGTGCAGCATGCCTCCAGTCATGGAATTTCTATCGGCCTCGTCGGCCGCGAAGTCAGCGTCACTGAAAGCTTTCAAACGTGGCGCTTGGTGGCGGTATTGAGCTGTGGTCATCGTGATTTTTACGCTCGCCGTACTTTTCAGGTACCGAGCGATCCTTTTGGCACGTTCCATTAGATCAAGCGCGGCGCATGCGTTTGTCGCGTGCATTTATGCATCGCGAAAGCTATGTCAGGTCGTGTGCAGTGCGCAACTCGCAGCAAGCTGCCCACGAGTGACTGGAACTCGCGAAGTATTAGGCTATCGGGCGCGCTCGACGAACCGAGTAGTCTGACTGGAAATCATAGCAGTCGTCACTATCTTGCGCGTGTCAAGTTTTCGCCAATTCCTTTGTGCAAAAAAGGTCGCTAATTTCGTCTTCCTGGTCAAGTGTATAACCGCCGATGCCGTTTAGCCGATCTGCATTCCGAGAAACTTGCTAACTTAATTAAGATCTTTGATCGAAGAAGACGCAAAGCTATCTAAGAAATGCAGTGGGGCGACATATTACATAGGTATTTATAGTAATAATACGTAATTACATAAGTAGGCATGGGATAGTATCCGATTAGTGGATACTACGCTTCATTTTGTTATCAATATATTATTGGGTGCTGGACCCACTAATTAGCCAATACTAAATTGACATCAATTTTGAGTGGTTTCCTTGAGCTAGGGAACATATTCGCACTTAATGCGAATGAAAACAAAACAAAAATAAAAACAGAGTTATATTTACGAGTTCATTAAGAGCACTTTCTCAACGCCCTTCTAGTGTAAGACGGTAACGGGTCCTTAGCTTGTTACACCTGGTAGCACTTTGTAGTCTTTCGATTGACCAGATTCGACATGAACATGGACGAGTCTTCGGTGGCTCCAGCGGTCTCGCTGGAGCATTCTGACTTCCCACATCTCACCTCGGTCGAGTGGAAGGCACTACACCACCTCTCGGCGGTGTCTGGTGAAAGTATCGTGACGGCACTGCTGAGCGCAGCGAAGTCCGGTGATCAACGTGCCGCCATCCAAGACTTTATGGTACGCGAGCTCGCCGAAGCGAATCGGCGAGTATTGACTCCCTAGCGCACTTCGAACAATGAAGCTATCAAGATGGAGACATCAACATACTACGGCGATGGTCCGGATCCTCTCTCCCTTCATCGCTGATTTCGCGAGGTGGATATTGCAATAGAGTCAAGATTAATTGACGTTCCGACGGCCAAGGTCAATTTCCTGCTGTCTCGTCTTGCTGGCAAAGTCAAGGAATGGGCTCTCGGAAAGCTCGTCGTAGATGAGTCGGCATTTCCTACGCTGGACGATATCCAGCGTGACTTACGAATGGCTTTCGAGCCTCCTCAAGATGGAATCTCGCTTGCGTGCAGATTTCTTCTCACTCCGACAGGCAAGCTGTCAATGCGTGACTACGTGTAGAAGACACGTCATCTTGCTTCGTGCATTACCACGCAGCCAATTGACATGGCTTCACAAGTCCATGACTTTATTTTTGGTATGCAAGAGGGCATGCCGCGTTACCGCTTCACACGTGCTGAGTTCAAGTCCCTCGAGTATGCATTTGCCCTCGCGCTTCGTGAGATTACGCTGTCGCGTCGTCGTACCTGCACTCAGCGTCACAAAATCTCCGGACGTCTGGCCCAGAGCCAATGAAAATTAATGCAATCGAGTCCTCTCTTGGTCGTGGCAAATCATTAGGCCGCGACATTCTTAATAATAACAAGATGAAGTGGGAAGGCAGGCCATCGTGCGGCTGTCTGTCGAGCACCAGCGCTGGTGAGTATGAACACAGCTGTCTCACTAGGAGATGCTGTGTCGTCGGTGCTGCCGCCAAGAAAAGAGCAGTTCCAGTAGGCGCGTGACGCCCTACTGGCAAGAATAGAGCCCCGAATACTCAGGTGGCAGCTCAAGCTCCTAGCTTCACGACCTCAAGGCCGGTGACATCGAGCAAATGTGCATCTTTTCAGCCACCGAATCAATTAGTGAAGAAGTTCTGGAGGCTCGCCCAAAGAGCGAGCCTAAATCAGCGCGCGAAGAACTCTCTACGGCACAGTATTAAGATGTTTTTGGTGCTTCGGTCAGCCCCGTCTACGAGATTACCCGTGAGTACACCGATGTTGTTTTAGCAGAAAATTCCTGCTGAGCTTCCAGCGGATCGTGAAGTGCGACATGAGATAGATCTCGTGCCAGGTTCGAAGTATTGCGTGACGCGGCAGTGCGGGATCAAGTCATCGCTATTGATGAAATTTTTGAGGGTCGCTGTAAGGATGGCCATGTCCGCGAGAGTATCTCGCCACATTCGAGCCCGACTTTTTGTGTGAAGAAAGTCATCGGCGGTTGACGCATTGTGCACGCTTTCAACAAGCTGAATGACGCCACGATACCGGCTCAAACGCCACTTCATCGAAAAGACATGGTAATGGATATCGGCTCAAACGACACTTCATCGAAAAGACATGGTTATGGATACCGTGTCCGGGAGCGGAATCTACAGCGCCATATATCTGACAGATGGTTTCTATCAGATCCTCATGAGGGACAGTGACATTCAGTTTACTGCGGTCATCATTCCAGCGGAATGCTTTGGGAGTGGCTAGTCATGCCACAAGGTCTCAAGAATGCTCCAGCTACGTTCAATTGGATGGTGACACAAGTACTTCGTACACTTCGCGATTTTGCACTGAGCTACTTTGAAGGCAAATTTGTTCACAGCCGCGCTGAGAAAAAGCTCAGAGTTAGGGAGGTACACCTTCGACACTTGAAGCAGGTGTCTCAAGTGATGCGCGAGAATAAATTGTATGCTAATTTGAAGAAATGTGTCTTCTGCGCTCTCGAGATTCCAGTACTCGGATGCTACGCCAGCAAGGAAGGTGTCCGCGCTGATCCTGAGAAGATCTCATCGATCTGCTCCTGACCAACGCCCAGGAACCAAACTGAATTACGTCAATGGCTCGGTCTGGC